TGTGTTAAGTTTCTCCCCTATTGCCTATATATATGAGATACTTGGAGATGAATTGGGTAGTGAATATTGAGAGCAAATTGCTATAACCTGAGGGTTTCTTTGGAAAAAGCTTGAGAGCTTTGTTCCATTTCTTCTTCTACTTCTATGGAAATCATGCGGGCTCTTTTCACCCTTCTTCTTGGCTTCTAACCTCTTTCTTCTCTACGCAAGTTCCACTCCACCTGTATCTTTCTTAGTTCCGTTGGTAAAGTTGTTGGCTGTTTTGGTGAAGTTGTTGGCTGTTCTGGTGAAGTTGTTGACTGTTTTGGTGGCATTTGTTGAAGGAGTTTGGTAGAACATTGGAACCCCTTTGCAGTGGTGGACCCTTTGTTTGTATATCTAAACCTTATTTTAATATATATTCCTACAATCGATGCATGTGAGGAGTCCTCTTGTAGGATGTTCTGAGGATAGCGTTTTTTTTTTTTTTTTTTTTTTTTTTTTTTTGTTTCTTTTGCTAACTTCTTTTGTTGGGTTTGTTGGATGATTGGTTTTTTCTTCTAATCTTAATTTAGTCGTTTTATTTAGCCTATTTATTTCTCCAAGTGGTGTTTTAAATTTCTAAAAAGTGAGTCTTGATTCTCTTTGTGTTTTTGTTTCAAGTTGCATACATCAACGTAGAACTCTATTACTTTTTTCTGCTATTGAAACATCAGCTTAATTCTGAATCACTTGTAACAGTTACAATCTTAAAGGTTTGGCTACATCGAATGTGGTCTTGCAGTGTCAGTATAGTAGATTAAAACAGTACAACTAATGAGGGAAGTAAACATAACCCATTGCAGGGCAAACGTGATTGTTGAAGCCAGAGATACTTCCTAATAAAGTATGGTGATGTGAGTAGCCTGACTAAAATTTCATTTTGTGAGTTGGATGTTCGTGATGCTAGTGCAAATGTTGTGTCTGTCATATCAACTACTTATAAGCTAATGCATAACGTGCAAGAAACATTGATAGTTATGATTAAACTTTTGGTGATTAAACCTTATTGGAACCATGAACAGATGGATGGGATCATAGGATTACATGAACTAGATAAGTTATACTTTTTAGATAAGCTCTTTCCATTATTTCCTTCTATCCTTTTAGACTAGCTAGCAATGTTTTAGGAGATGACTTTCCCCGAAATTAGGTTAGTAGATTGTTTGTTGCAAGATTAGCACATTTGAATTCTAGGTATGCTTAAAATTGAAGCCTTGATAAATCCAAACCTGAGCTAAAAAAGAAACCCAACCACAGCCTTTACACAATGATCACATACAAAACCCTCATCATATAAGCGAAAGGAACAATAGAAAAGGATTAACAAAAAAGTTTTTTTTTTTAATTTAATTTTATTATTTGTTCATAATGGATTATCAACAACTTGGTAGATAAGTTGTGACAAAGGAGCCACAACAATAATCGAATAATGGTCTACATAGGTTCTACGCTAGTACACATAAGGAGCATCGCGTGTTAGAAATGATAGAAATTGTAATAACTCATGCAAGAATTATAATCCATTCACTACAGGAAAATCGCATATTACCGACGGACGAAATCCGCCGGAAAACATAGATATTCCGACGACC